TTTTCCCATCTTTTTATTTTGAAGCTACCCAAACATCATGCCAGTACATTTGCAAATATTTCCATAAGTATCTTTAAAAATAAGGACTCAAAAACCCACAATATCATTATAACATCCTAAAATACTAACAATAATTCTTTAACATCATCAAATATCAGTCAAGATCAAGTAGCCAAGTGTCTCATAAATGTTCATAATTATTTTACAGATTCAGGACCCAAATATATTATTTATTTATTTATTTATTTATTTTTATTTTTAAATATATCTTATTGATTATGCTATTACAGTTGTCCCATTTTTTTCCTCTTTACTCCTCTCTGCCCTGCACCCCCACTCCCACAGGAATCCCCCCCCACCACCTTGGTTCATGTCCATGGGTCGCATATAAGTTCTTTGGCTTCTCCATTTCCTATATTATTCTTAACCTCCCCCTGTCTATTTGGTATCTATCATTTATGCTTTTTATTCCCTGTAACTTTCCCCCCATTCTCCTGCTCCCCCTCCCCTCTGATCTCCATTTCTGTGATTCTGTTTCTGTTCTAGTTGTTTGCTTAGTTTATTTTTGTTTTTGTTTAGGTTCAGTTGTTGATAGTTGTGAGTTTGTTGTCATTTTACTGTTCATAGTTTTTTATCTTCTTCTTTTTCTTAGATAAGTCCCTTTAACATTTCATATAATAAGGGCTTAGTGATGATGAACTCCTTTAACTTTACCTTATCTGGGAAGCTGTTTATCTGTCCTTTCATTCTGAATGATAGCTTTGCTGGATAGAATAATCTTGGATGTAGGTCCTTGCCTTTCATGACTTTGAATACTTCTTTCCAGTCCCTTCTTGCCTGCAAGATTTCTACTGAGAAATCAGCTGATAGTCTTATGGGAACTCCTTTGTAGGTAACTGTCTCCTTTTCTCTTGCTGCTTTTAAGATTCTCTCCTTATCTTTAATCTTGGGTAATGTAATTATGATGTGCCTTGGTGTGTGTTTCCTTGGGTCCAACTTCTTTGGGACTCTCTGAGCTTCCTGGATCTCCTGGAAGTCTATTTCCTTCACTAGATAGGGGAATTTCTCCTTCATTATTTTTTCAAAGAAGTTTACAATTTCTTGCTCTTCCTTTTCTCCTTCTGGCACCCCTATAATTCTTATGTTGGAATGTTTAAAGTTGTCCCAGAGGTTCCTAAGCTTCCCTCATTTTTTTGAAATCTTGGTTTCTTCATTCTGTTCTGGCTGAAAGTTTATCTCTTCCTTCTGCTCCAAATCGTTGATTTGAGTCCTCCTTCCCTTCCCTCTATTGTTGGTTCCCTGTGTATTTTTCTTTATTTAACTTTGCATAGCCTTCCATTTTTTCCTCCTTTTTGCTACCATACTCAACCATTTCTGTGAGCATCCAGACTACCAGTGTTTTGAACTGTGCATCTGACAGGTTGGCTATCTTTTCATCACTTAGTTCTATTTTTGGAGCTTTGATCAGTTCTTTCATTTGGGCCATATTTCTTTGTCTCAGCACACCTGTTATGTGGGAAGGGGCGGAGCCTTGGGTATTCTTGGGGCAGGGCGGGGCAACTGAGGTCACTACAATGTGATGCTGTATGTGAGGGAAGGGTCCAAGAGGGAACAATGCAGCTTGCTTGGCTCACCACTGGCTTTCCGTCACATCCCTCGCTACCCAGAAGCAAATCAGACCCCTCTGGTGCTGATTCTCAGCTGAGTGGGTTTGTGTACATTCTAGGACTTTGTGGGCTTCTCCAATGAACTCTCCTGTCAACCTGGGAGTTTCTCCTGCTGCCATAATCCCCACAGGTTTTACACAAGAGGTTTTGAAGCTTTCTTTTCTCCACATTGGAACCCTGTATTGCCCAGGCTGTCTCACTCCCCAGTTGTTACTCCCAGTTTATCTGCACACAAATATGGGACTGCTCGGTCCTACTGCCTTGCTGCGCATCCTCTCCACCCCAGCTGTCCATCTCCGCCCCTCCTACTGGTCTGGATGGATGTTTCTTCTTTAACTCCTTGGTTGTCAGACTTCCATATAGTTCAATTTTGGGGCAGTTCTGGCTATTTTTTGTTTTTAAATTTGTCGCTCTCCTTTTGGTTGTGTGAGGCACAAAGTATATCCTCCTACACCTTCATCTTTGCCAGAAGTCCCAAATACATTTTATAGAGAACAATAAAAAATTTCATAATAACTAAATCTAGACTATTACAAATTCCGATTCTTAAATTCTGGATTTTCTTAAAGTACAATAATAATTGTTGCATACTGAAGTTATGTATTCAGTCATTTGGGTGGCATTTTAAATATTTTTCTTTTAGCAATTCAGTACAATTATTTTTAAATTCAACTTGTTGAAAGTGTTGTACTGGAATTGATTAGTCAACATTTGTTTATCAAAAGCCTACCAGGTAGGCGGCAGGAGAGCACACGGTGAACACCTCTAGCAGATATGGACTGAAGCCCTACTGTACACAGATCACATGAGCTGAGAGTTTAGCTTCTTTTTGTCTCAGTTCCCAAATCCGTAAAATGCAGATGATAGTTACCCAAATCCAGAGAATTTTCCATATGTACATGTAGTGGTGGGGTGTGGGGAAGAGTGGGTAAAATGAGAAAATGTGGGTTCACTGTTTGGTACAGTAATTCCTCAATAAATAGTAAATGTAGTTAGGATATCATCTATATCAGGCAAGGTTGAGGAAATGAGGCTGGAAAGAAAGGCAGTGGATAGAGCTGTGCTATCTAATAAAGTAGCCACTAACCACACATGGTTATTGAGCACTTGAAATGTGCCTGGTCTGAATTAAGATATGTTGTAAAATACACGCTAGCTTTCTAAGATGTAGTATGAACAAACAACATATAGTATCTCATCATTAATTTTTAATATTTAGTACATGTTCATATAATATGTTGGATATATTGTGTTAAAATTATGTTAAAACTACTTTCACCCTTTTTTTTTTACTTTTATGAATGTGGCTATTAAAAATTTGAAATTATTTAAGTGGCCTGCATTACATTTCTATTGGGTAGCACCAGGCTGGCTCATCAGTTGTCATTTCAATCACTAATACTTGATCTTGCTCCTCCTCCTATTGTCAATCTAGTCAAATTGGGAGAGATAATCAACTGCCCCTCTCTAATCCCCACAACTTGTTGATTCTATTTCCTTAGTAGCTCACACATCTGTTCTCTTCTTTATCTCTCCTACTGACCTAGAGTATTACAAACCCATTTACTTTATTTTTTGCATTTTTACTGAGATATAGTTCACATAGAACATTGAGTAAGTTTAAGGTATATAACATATTGATTTGATATATGTTGCGATATGACCACCACCATGAGTTTTCTACTTACATAGTACGATCCTCTGTTCATATTATGAAAGCATAATTTTATAGCAAGTGAGCGTAAGAATAAAAATGTTACTTAAATTTCAACAAAAATAATAATTTCATTTTTTTCTGACATATATTAGTATAGAAATTATATATTATTTATCTCATACAAACTTCAACTAATAATAAGTTCTAGAGCTCTAGTGTACAGTATAGTGAACATAGGCAACAACATTGAATTATAATAATCAAATTTGCTAAGAGACTAGATCTTAAATTATTCTAACCACAGGAAAAAAAGAGATAATTATGTGATGTGATAAAGGTGCTAGTATCACTACCATGGCAATCATATTACAGTATATTAAATGTATTAAACCAGAACGTATATCTTAAACTTACACAATGTTATATATCAAATATATGTCAATAAAAATAATAAAATAAACTTAAAAGGGAAGAATGAAGAAAGGAGGAGATTAAAGCTCATGTGGGAGAAGAGATTATGGGACAAGGAATGAAAGATACTGAGGGACAAAGTAGGGATGAGAATGATGGGCAAAAAGAGAAGAGACTTGGTGAGCAAAGCTCAGTCTACAGGCAAAGAGTAGGAGGGGCTAAGGATGTGGTGGGGACAAGGGACAGGAGGATATGGGATTCTGAAGGTCTAAGAACCCTGTAGTCTTGGTTTCCTATGGTCCTCTTAGGTCCAAGAGTTTGCCCATTTTTAGACAGTTGAAATAAGCAAGTTCTTGGTAAACCTGTACATTCGGTACCTTTAGCCAATTAGTTGTTGTGTGCTCTGTACCACCTGTTTTGTCTTCCAGCCCCTAGTGGAGGGCTCCTTCTGTACCCAGGCCAAGTAAAAGACTTGGTAAATTTGGTGACTTGGTCATTCAGAGAAAAACAATAATCATGAAGTGTTAGTGTTGACTAAACAAAATGACTTTTTTAAAGATTCAAAAGGGAAAAGTTCCCATGTGATGTGCTGACATTTTTATTATATTCATAAGAATATATTTTAAAAGATTAATAGTAAAGTTCAGCACATTTTCAATTGTTGATTAGCTTTTTAAATGTTTAGACAGGTAAACTGCCTATTTATATACTTTGCCCATGTTTCTATTGGTTTGACTTTCTTTATTATAAATATCAATCCTTTGCCCGTCATACATATTACAAACATTTTCTCCCATTCTATTTCTTGGCATGTAATCCTTTAATGCATTTGAGGTTTTTGTTGGTGTTTGGTACAAGGCTAGAATCTAAAGCGATATTTCTATCTAGAAGGTAAGCAATTTTCACCATGTCATTTGTTGAATAACTCACCTGTTCCCTTTTATCTGCAGTGCTTTTTTCTTAAGCCTCATAAGTGGTAGGGTCCATTTGAGAATCATCTATTGTGTTTCAGCCAATTGTTCTGTGAATTCCTACACACAGGTTTAATTATTGTGTTATTATGTATTTTTTGGTTCATACATTTAAAAATTTCTTAGCCATCATCATATTTTTACTATTTTGACAGCTGAGATTTAGAGTCATTTTTATCAAGTTAAAATATAAATATTGGCATTTGGGAAATTTGTTGTGGCAGACAGGGTGGGGGTAGGTGGTATGGAGTTATAAACGGCATTAGTCCTTGGTGCAAACATGTAATATGCCAGCCTCTCCGGTCAGCGGCACTTTTGCTGGCGTCCATCCAACCCCGTGGGTCTCCAAGCAAAGCAAGGCTAGCCAGTACCATTGAGTAGTCATTCATCATCTCTGGTTTGTCAGATTTGTTACCAACAAATGTGGGAAGCAGCTCAGCCTCTTGGATCTCATGCCTGTCCTCTCTGCAGGTTGCTTTGCAGAACCTTCTTATGTGTGTCATTCTCTTCTACACTGTGTACTATGTGGTTGTGAGCATGGGCTGCTTGTTGCTTGCGTAAGTAGCACATTGCCTTCAAACAGAATTAAAAAGCTAAGATCAGCTATGAGATGAGTTTATATTTAACACTAGACATGTCTTTATGAAATAGAGGATGCCAACTTTAAAATATATATAAATATATATATATATTTTCTTACTTTTTTGAAAGTAAAAACGAGCAAATATACCATATTGGAAAATGATAAAAGTAGCAATCATGAAATGAAGTGGAGAGAACCAGGCAGGACTCATCTTTTTACCTCTGGAGAATCATCACAGGAAAGAGTGAAGCTGTCCCTCCCCCAGCTTGTGTTGAACCAGAAGACATTTGAACTCAAAAAGAATTTAGAGATAATATACCTCCAAATTAAATATTTTCTCAAATATACTGAAAATAGCGCTGGACTGTGAGTCAGGAGATCTGTATTCTGGCCCAGGTTCTTCAGATCTTCCTGGATCATCTTGACCAAGCCAGAGAGCTTCTTTTACTTTAATTGTCTTCACTTGTCTAATGAAGGGCATAATCCAAAAGGAGGTTATCATGCAAACCAAGTAATACACGTAATTTTAATAACATTTTTATTTAAATGTGTGCCATTTTTTTCCCTCAGGAAATTTCTTTGTCTTGCTATGATTGAATTTTGTCTTTACAAATTTAAGTTGCCCAGACATTGATTTTCTTGAAATACATTATGCATATTTACAAATAATTCCCTAGGAATTGATTGTTTATACAATTTAATGTTATTGTGTAAGCAAGGAGTTAGGCTTTACAATTTCAATATACAAATTAGTGCCAAAAATAATTATACCAACTTTTGCAATGGGAAGAATGTTATGAAGCATGCTTGCAGGCAAACCCACTGAGGAAGCTTCTGGAGCTGACACAGCAGCCTTAGCTGTCGCCTGGGACTGGAGATGGTGAGGCTGCGCCTGGAGCAGGGAAGGGAGGAGAATCTTCAGGACTCTCTGAGCATGGGGTTTCCAGGGTTTGTAGTTAATGTGAGTCAGAAGCCAGGGATTTGAAGTAAAAATTCCAAAAGGCAGCTAACTGATTGGTCAGCTGCACACAACTACAAACTTACATACAGCAGAAAGCGTATACTTAATAGACTCAGATTTTAGAACAGGAAAGGATCTCAGAGATTAATCATTTCACATTACAAATAAGAAACTAAGCCCAGAGGGCTCTGGCTGGTGTGGCTCAGTGGATTGAGTGCTGGCCTGTGGTTTGAAAGGTTGCCAGTTCAATTCCTGGTTGGGGCACATGCCTAGGTTGCAGGCCAGGTCCCCAGTTGTAAGAGGGACAACTGATTGATGTTTCTCTCCCTCTCTTTCTTCCTCCTTTCCCCCTCTCTAAAAATAAATAAGTGAAATCTAAAAAAAGAAATCTAAGTCCGCAGGGTTCAGTCACTTGCCCAAGCTCGCAGTTCACAACTCTATCAAGATTAGAGCATGGTTCTTGTTTCTAAGCCATATGCACTTGCCACAGTATTGGGTTCTCATCCCACACTTGATGGAAGGGACTTCCAAGGTTGCAGCTGAGACCTCAGATACAATGAAATACACTTGGTGGACAATGTGGACTTAATTGGACAAAGAAAGCAATGTAGATAAAAAGGTTATTTGTCTGCCATCCAAGTTGGCCAATTTTTAAATGTGCCACAAAGAGGGTAAAGCTAAAGACATTGCCGTATGTGAAGAGCAATGTGCAAAACCTTGACGTGCAAAGTTACGAACTGCTTCCTCCATAGTAAACTATTTTCATTTGTAACGTCTTCAGGGCGTATGAATTCGACGTCCTGGCACCATTTGACTTCAAAACAAATCCCTCATGGCTCAACACAAATTATAAAGGTAATCTGTTTTAATTTTCAATCTTTATCAATTTGTGAACTAAATGCCTCCAAAAATCAACATAGTTTTTTATTTTATAAAATGTTTTTAAATATCGGGCCTTTCCATCGGCCATGTGTATCTTATGCTGGATTTCAAAAATTAACGTGGAAGGTGCTATAAAAATTTAAAAATGGTTATTCCTAAAAGATAGAATGGGATGGAATAAGTGGGTAGTATTATTATCTGAATTTTTATTCGGTGGTATTATGGGTAAAATGTTGTGCATTAAGTATTTTTCCAAAAAAACGGTTTGATGTGCTGATATAGGAAAATGATCATGAGGTATGAAATGGAAAATAAAGATTACGAAAGAGTTTGTGTAGTCTAGTTATTCATTTTTGTAGACTAGAATAAAATACATGGTGTCACTACTAAGAAATTGTGCAAAAAACTGTTATTTTCTAGCTGGGATGACAGAGGTCTTTCATTTTCTGCTTCACACATTTCTGCTTAGTTTGATTTTTCTCCCCCAAATAGTATAAAACTTGTTGCAAAGGAAAAATGATAAGAAAAAATATACTAAGGAACAAAAATTCTTTTTTAAGTTTATTATTTTTTGAAGAAATACTTATTAATAACTACGATGTTCATAAACCTTATGTAAGTTAATAATAACACTTATGTGTATTGAATATATGTCACATTTACTTGTCTTGGGGGCATTCATGGTGAGTTTGCTCCATCTTGAGAAAAATTAGATTTTAATGTTATTTTCCATTATAAAATAATGAATGTAAATTAATTAAAGCTTATAAAAAGCACACAATTTGGGGTGCACAATGCAATATACAGGTCATTTATCTAGAAATGTACACTTGACACCTATATAATCTGATTAGCCAATGTCATCCCAATAAATTTAATTAAAACACACACATAAAGGCAAAAATTACTGTGAAAATAATAATGAGAAATAAATATATTCTGTATTATTGTAAAAAATAAATATTTAAAGCAAATAAATAAATAAAGTATATACAATTAGAAAGGAGAAAAAGAAGAAAATGAATTCCAAACTTACTTTCTAAATGTCGTTTCTCTTAACGTTCTGTTAAATTTCTTCCTACTTTTAAACAATAAATTGTGGATTCTTTAAACAGTACATTTTTTAAAAGAAAACCACTGGACATCTGTTTTTGGAACATATATGCAAAAATATAAACATGGCCTGAAATCAAAGAAATCAGATTTCAAATGTGTCTTGTATAGGAAACTTGGTTTGCCGGAACTACTAAATTAAAAAAAAAAAACACCCTCAAATGGGTAACCTCTTTTTGTTCCATTATGGATTCAATTTTGGATAGACAAGGTATGTTAGAACAAGAGTCTTTCATCCTAATGAGATACAAGAGGTATAACACTCTATCTTAATTTTGTCTTCGTGCATTTCCCTATTAAAGATCAAATTACCTTATTTTCTACCAAGACTACCCACAAATAATAAGGAACTAGTCACAGTGAAGATTTAAGTATGAACAATTAGAAAATATTAATTAATGTAAATTAATTAAAGCTTATAAAAAACATACAACTTTGGGTGGTGGGTGCACAATGCAATATACAGATTATTTATCATAGAAAGGGACACTTGAAACCTATATAATTTTGGGTTGTGCATGTGTTTTGGGTAAGGGGAGAGATTGTTTTCAGGTCAGTCAGTAAATTGTAGGACAACGACACAGGCTTATTGAACAAGGCTGTGTTTTTACATAGCAGAGATTAGTGAGGATCCCCCAGATGCCTGGCACAATTTATAGTCCTTACCTCTCACAAACACTAGCATTTGTACAAAGATATCAATAAGCCCTCAGCCTATTAGATCTTTAATTTTGATCTTGGGGAAATAAATCCCACAAGTCTTCAAAGTTGTTACTTTGAGACTCTAGACTTACTTAATTTTGGAACAGTAATCTCAGAGCCTTGAGAATGTATTTGGGGTCAGGTTTCCTATCTAAGTAATTTTGTCACCCAGGAGATCATGTTTATGAAGGACATGAAAAGTCTGAGTCTACCTCTGTATTGCAGAGAATAGATTGCAAATTACTTTCATTTTAAACTAAAATCTTCCTAGCAATTTTTTGAGGCAGATAAAATAGTACTTCGTGTCCCAATTTATAAAAAGGGAAACAGACTGACCTAGAGGTTAAAACCTTGCTCAAGGTCTTATAACTCTTAAGCTATAAGGCGAGACTAGAACACCGGTATCTTGACTACGAAATCTGTACTCCTGTCTTTAAATCACACTTTTTCTCATATCATAAACAAAGCATCTGACTTCTCTATCAGCATATGCAAATACTGCTTCTTCAAGACTAAAAGCACTATCTCTGAGCAGTTGCAGGTTAACTCATGAAATCTGTAATGCTGCTAAAAAGCCATCTCTGTTTCCTTATAATTATGTGGAAGCTCTATGAGACACTGGTGGAGGTAGGAGTGGAAATGTAGTGGGAAGATATGGTGTCAGTGAGTACACTTGCTTCCACAGGCTTGACTTTAGGAGGCAGGGCATGCTGAAATGAACTGTATTCCCATACGACAGAAAAGAAGCTAGTATGAATTGTCCATTCAACTTTTGAAGCTTGTTCAGTTAAATTAAATAGAACTGAAGAGGAGTATGAGGCCTTTATAAACAATGGCACCTGGGACTTGTTTATTTGGTGTCTTGCTCATTCAATAGGCAATTGCTGGCTTGCCAGTTAATAAATTACTTCTGAATAATAGAACATGATATGGTTATTTTTTTTTTTTTTTGCTTTTAAAAAATATGGAGTATTCCTGCCTAGATTTATCAATTCCTGAACTATATGAACTTACCAAACATTTGCTGTGTTTTAAGAGAAAATAGAGATAATATTTATGGAACATGATACTATTACAAAGGGACCTTGGGCATATACCACATCTATTTGTCACTTTAAAGTTTGATGGATCCTTTCTTTGAAACCACTATAATCTGAAAGTTCCATATCAAAAACAAAGGCAAAACTCTTCACATGTTGAAAGCTCTTAGAGATTTGTGATCCTTACCTATATGTGGTCCTGGCTCTTTGTACATGTTCAGGGAAACCAGTCTGAGACAACTGGTGGATTTAGAAGAGAGCCTCCATCCACATGAGTCTTTTATGAGGCTCGCTTTTATTCATGGCTATTCGCTATGCTTCCCAAGGGACTATCTGAATGTACTGCTTTATTAAAAGACACAAAAGAACATATTTCCAAGTGAAGTAATGATTGGTACCAAAAACATGTTATAATTTTTATATATTTTTTTATTTCTGAAAACTCAGAATTGAAATTTTCATTAGTTTTTAATACATCTTAAAAATGAGACTTGCAATCCAATTACCGATCAGCATGTATTGGTTACATTGTAACTTTTCTTTATAGCATTCTACCTTCTAAAATGCTAAGTATAAAGAATGCAAAACAGAAATTATGTATTGTTATTTTTCTGTAAGTCTAATAATTATTAAAAGATGGGATGTATTAAAAGTTCTTTTCCAAATCTGAGAAAATCCTACCAAAATTGTTTTGTTGAACAACTCGTAATGGTCCTGTTACTAATTGCATTTCAGAATTATTAGTTACTCTGATCCCAAGTAATTATATTCTTCTTCTTGTGTTCAGTTCTTTTAGTCTCAACAGAGGCCACCTACTTTGTTTGTGGACTGCTTTTCGTTCTTATGGTGGAAGAACAGGTGTGGGACTATGCTATATCAGTAACTGTTCTCCATGTTGCCATCACTTCAATGAGTAAGCAAAACAAAATAAAGCAAACACAACTTTGTTGTGTGCATATTGTACTCTGATGCTAAATAACAAAAACTGATGGTAAAAGATCTTCACCACCCCTTCCCTTATTCATTCTCCCCACCAAGGTCTTCTACCACTTGCTTAGTTACATTTTCCAATTCAAAACTGTACTGACATGTAGGTGCTTTCTAGTCTATTTCCACATTCAACTTATGAGCTTGTAGAAAGTTTGCCTCTGTTAAGAATACTCTCCTACAAAATCCTTCTTTAAGGCAGAAATTGGCCAAAGACTGGAACCCAAGAGACCTATGCTCGAAGGCTTGCAAACTTCTCAACACCATTTAGTTATGTTAGAAAAATTACTGGGTTCTTAGACTAAAGGGTTTCTATCTCTGCCTGTGATCTTTGGAGTCAGAAGAAAATGGATTCAAATTCTAGTCCTACCTTTTTACTAGGTGCTTAGTCTTAGGCAAATTACAGTATTGCTAACATTATTGGTTGCCTCCTCTACTAAATGGGGGATGATAGTGAAGTTTCAGCGAGAATGATAAATTGTCTGACACAGTGTCTAGCACATAATAACTTCTGAATAAATAATAGTTTTATCCATTTCTTCAAAATTTTCACTTTCATTATAACTTTTTCTCCCTTGCCTAACCATTTTTTTTAAAGCATGCTAGTGTAAGTATGGGTGATAATCAACCACAAGTTGTAATTCAAAGTTATTATTAACAACTTAAATCACTCATATTTTCAGTGGCCTGGTCTACTCAAGGTTTAGTCAGTCTTCAACTTAAGAACACACAATATCCAAATGAATTGCTACATTTCAGCATCACTGCTATTGGAAAATATCAGAATCTCAGTACCTTAGCATCAATTTCCTGAGACATAAAACCTTACAGTAATTTGGAGGACCACTGAACTCCCACCATCTTAGATCTCTAATTTACTTTGGGCTTAATATTTCCTGGAAGCTAGCCACAGGACATTCACAAAAAGGCTTGGGTGGTTCAGTCTTCAAGGTTGAGATAAGCAGTTGGCTTTGGAGTCAGAAAAGTTACAAGTTAATTGCCTAACACATGGAACATAGGAAATGCTTCACAAATATCTCTCCACAGAATGGAGTTCGTAGTGAAGTGACTCAGAACTTTAGAGAGAGGCAGGCATTGAGGACAGGGGTGGTCTTTGGACCATCTTTGATGTATATCTTCAAAACAACTTTGTGAGCCGACCTGAGACTCCATAATTTATAACATCATTTCTAGGAGAGAAGTTTCAAATATCTGACTTGACAAATGACCTTTTTAGACTATGACTTAAGTGCAAATTTGGGGGTGTCTGATTTCATGAATGGAAATAAAATTTCTCTGTTTTATGTGTATATGATTTGCCCAAACAGAAGTATTTCTTTATGAGTAACAAAATAATATGTGTTTTGAAAATGAACGCCTGTTTTTTTTCTGTTGCAGTTATGTTGGAATTCCCTTTGACATCACATTGGTGGGCTGCTTTAGGTATTTATATATTTATGATACCTATATAGATTTTATATATACATATATAATATTTGTATAATATAAATACATACTTATATATAAACTGGGGCATAAATTTTTCTAGGTGGGTCAAGTAACTGAACCAGAAGACTTATCATGGGCTTTATCATTCTAAAATTATAGGGAATAAAACACTGGATATATTTTTGTGACATATTCTTTTGGTTCTCTTTCCATATGAATTACATTACTGTCATTTTAGTAGTACAAGAAGAAGAGAAACTACTTTCATATTTTTCTCTGCCCACAAAGTGAACAACTGGATTCATCAATCATATACCTAGTAAGAACATTAACCAAGTGAAAGTGGACTTTTCTAAAGCTTTTTGTTCATGTGGAGCCAGGTGTTGACTACGAAATATTTTTAAGTTTTCTCTTTTCAGCAAATTTTGCAATATTTTTATCTAATTAGTGTCCTTCTTAGTGATGAAAAATGGAAATGCAGCACTTTGCCACATTCTTTCCCAAAAGCTGAATGTCTGTGTGTAGTATCAGTATTATGAATACGTATATTACCTACCAATCTCTTCACCAGAGTTTAGTTCTCCACTTATTTTGCATATCCATAAGGCCTAGATGTACGCTTTTCTCCAATATTGTTTAGCACATACAGAAAATGTGTAGAAAGTACTAATATTTTATCTTGTATAAATCTTTCAAAATGTAAATTTTTAATAAATTGGAAAAAAGATACTGAAAGACATGCTATAAATGTAAGTGGAAATTATCTTTTCTCTATGAAAAACAATAACTTTTTTGGATTTTATTGACAATATCACAAAATTTACTGAGCTCTAGTGAGCTAAGTCACATAACAAATATCACCTTGATGTCAAGGAGACACAATGTTAGCATAATGGAATGGCCAATAGAATTTGTTAAAATATGTGGTAACTATTTTAGTTTCAATAACCAGGGTTGGATTACTTAGAGGACAGTTGTCAAGTGATGTCTTAAGTAACCTTTTTTGTTTTTCCTTGAGTTAAAAAATTTAGATAAACAAGAATAGTGCCTAAACCCCTTGAAAATTCTGTCTCTTGGTCTCACATTGGATGTGTGTCCATGTGTGAGGAAGCTGTGTGGGCCTGTTAGGCCCCTGGTTCACTTAGGGCTCTTACCTCAGGGACCTTTGCCCTTTTTTAAAGGCATACACTTATTGCCATACAGGGAACAATGGCTATATGAAAGCCCTATAAGCCTGGATTAATATTTTAAAACAAACTAGAATTATTAGGCCAATGAAGTCAGAGCTAAATGCATTTTCATATAACTAAATAGCTCAGGTAGGTAGAATTCTGGGTATTTATTGTTCCTAAATATTTGGCACAAGTCAGAGATAATTGCCTATTCTGAGAATCCTTGCTGCAGAGTATAGTATATCAAAAACATCTTTTTCTTTTAAATTAAGTGTTTGTTATACATCATTGAAATCATTGGTAGCCCCACAAGTGTTTAGTAAATTGGCATTAAGCTTAAAGGATAGAAAAAAGGCAGATAGTAACTTCTCATAGACAAGAAAATAGATAAGTGGGTAAAACCAGACCATAGTTGTCAAAAGTCTTTGAATTATGAATAGCTGCATTCTTCAGTATAGATTTTTAAAAAATAAACCCCAGTTATGAAGCACCTTGTTTATAGGAAAAAAATTTCTAACCAACTTTATTGAAACAAATTTCACTGTGTAAAAGTTGATTTGATTCAACATGCAGAGAAATCAAAGGTTCAAGAATATCTACTGAAACAGAAATATTTCTTAGTGAGTTGGTTGAGTTTTGAAGCCTCTAACTTCTCAGAATGATTCTGTTTTTTAGAATTCCATATTTAATAGCAATTTATGGCAACTAAGATTTCATATTAGAAACATCTATAAAAATTCCACAGTTTTACATAATGGGTTGCTATGCAGACAAGAAAAATAAGTTCAATAATATGAAAGGTATGGCAGTAAGGTGGAAAAGATTATCTAAAAATGGGATTTTAGTTAGAAGTGTTTGTATCAGACAATAAGGTGGGCTTTTGTGAAGATGTTAATAATAACTGAGTTGACTGCTTGATCACAAATATGAGAGTTTCCTACATATTTAGTGACAAAGCATCAAAAATAGCCAGAAACGGGAAACCGTCATGTGCTCTTACCTTTGATATTTTATCTGGTATTAATATAACTCAGCTAGAATGAATGTGTTTGTTGAGATGTTAATAAAAGGCTTAAGAAAAAAAGATTGAGTTTGTTGGCACATGAAATAATAGTGGTTACAGAGAAAAGCTGGTGACCTTGTGTTGCTATTTATTCTATGCCCTGATCAGACTAGCAACTAGATAAGGACGTGCCTTAAAAATATTATGGTTTGATTCAAAGACCCACTTTTTTTTTTTTTAGCTATTATGATAAGTTGTTTTTGTTTTGTCTTGTTTTACTTTTATACAAAGGCGGCTTCTGTTAAAGTTTTTATTTCTTTTATGTTGTAACTCCTTTTGTTTTTTTTTAAGCTGTGATAGCAATGGTAACTGATGCTTTTCACTTTGTTCAACTTACATAAAACAAGCCAGCATCTGATCAAAAGTATTACATAAGATCTTTCTTAAACTAATGAAAGGTGCTTTGATGATTTACTCCTTTGGTCTGTAGAATTAGGACTGAACTTGACTCTAACCACTATAGTTGCCATTACTTTTCTATGGTGAAACTACTGCTGATGCTTTCTTTTCTACATAAAAAATGTTGCCTAAGGATGTCTGCTATTCCTTTTCAAGGGTTGTCTTGGTGGGAATGTTGTCTGTTTATGTGTGAATACGGAAGTGCTTATATTTTGTTTGTTGCTGATGGTTTTTTGTTTGCTTGTTTTGTTTTTTGTTCTCAGTAGTCTTGTGTTAGCCCTAGGTAAACTTTGTCTCCTTAGCCAATCAAATATTAAAGACTATGGGGGTCTTTCTTTTTTTAATTAACATGTCCTTGTTCATCTATTAAAAGTTGATCAGTGTTTCAGGAATGACTACCATGGGCTTTGGAAACAGACTTACCATTATTGATTTAAGGTTTTCCAGAGATAAATGTAGTTCACAGTTAATTGTTGAGCTCTAATACAACTGATGATTTAAAATTGAACAACAGTTTATCATTTTGTAACAATGTCAGTTGTTAAACCTTGACATTTCAATGAAAACATGAATTGTAGTTATAACTTAATGCAAATTCAGCAGTTGCATTCAGAGTTAAATTATTTTAACAAATAAATTTATTTAACAAAAAATCTGAAAACTATACTTAAAAATATTTCCAAGTTAATAGCATGTTTTTCTTTTATAATTAGAGAGAAAATACCTTATAAAATATTTTAAAATATCAGCAACACAACTGAAAGGCAGGTCTGAAGAGCTGAAAGAAGAATTGAGAATTGTGAATTCCTTGGCATGTTCTTTGACTTTATTGCTTTTGAATTTCTGAGTTTTAAGACCTCCTTACTATTAATTTGACAGAACCATGCACCTATTCTTCCCTGAAGGAAGTTTTAAATTTCAACAATTTACCAGCACAAAATATATACCTACTCTCTCTTAGCTCAACGTATAAACTATACTATTTCAAATGCTATGTCAGTTTTAGGAACCCTATCTTAGTCATGACAATTGTTCTTATTCATAATCTCACCAATGAATTATTCATTATTGGTAGTTAACCAAAAATTTCCTTTCATTACTTGCAGGATCTGGCTTAATTTCAATGATATGTGGAGGCCAGACTTTAGCATACTGTTCGTTCAAAGACAACTTTATCTATCTGGAACTGGATGACTTTTAACAGAAAAGTTGAATTAATTTGCTTCAGATTTTTTATATTATTATATACATTGTGGCAGAATCAAATTGTATTTTTTTGTTCATACCTATATTCAAGGTTGAATTTATTCAGGATACTTTATAACTATGAAAAGAAAAAAGAGAAGTTAATGGAGAGCAGAAGAATCCTAGTAAAGAATTCATGAGTAAAATGTTGCAAACCCATAAATGCAGTGTTCTTCAAAGTGGGTTACATAGAATAATAGTTCTGAAGGATATTAATAATGCCATGCAAAGAAAATAAAAGTTTCATTTTTAAGTATATTCGTGGAACCCTGGGTTTAAGTAAAACAGGTTTATTTATTTCCGGACTTCTTAAAATCTTTAACATACCCTTGGAAACAAAGCAGTGGTATAGCTTATGCATGGTTTCTCAAACATACATGACCAGGAACACACTTTAGAAAATGTTAATGTATCATGTGGAAAGTATAACACAGAAAGTGGCAGATTCCAAACTACACAAATCCCTGTAACCAGAATTAAATTCCATTATCACCCCATAGTATTTTTTTCCTTGTTAGAGCATTTCTTATGAAATTATTGTCTTTTTAAAAACAGTATTTATTTCTTTCCTTAGACTGGGATCTAACGTAGTGCTTTTCAAAATTTATGTACATTTGAATCACCGGAGGATCTTGTTGTGATGCTGACTTTAGTTTAGAAAGACTGGGTGTAGACTGAAAGTCGGTATTTCTAGCAATTCCTGGGAAATGCTTGTGTCGCTGGTTCATGTTGTTACTTTAAGTAGCAAGGTCTAAGTGCTTGGGACCATATATGTTTTCAGGTTGTATAGCTCTATATTGCCAATCCTATGTTTTTTTATATCAATTGTTTTCAATAAATACTTGTTGAATTGAATTACAAATGAGGAGAGTTAACTTTGTATGTGTCTTAAATATTTACCACTTTTTAATATAGTTTAAATGTCTCCTGATACAAAAGAAGTGCATACTGTGGTTACAACTAAAATATAAGTAACATACATCTCCCCCCCCCCCAAAACACACACACACACACACACACACACACACACACACACACACACACACACACACGCTCACTCCTACGCTCCTACACACAAATATTCTGGGAACAATTAGAAACTAAACAAAACCACCTCTAGGATTTTTTCCCTAAATGACTCTTTTTACCCTAAAATCTCATTCTTTCACAAAGATATGCATTTTACCACTAAGATGTGTCATGCTAATCATATGTATTTCAGGTGATCTTCCAAAAAACTACTTTGTGTTGGTCAGTTACTGATGAGGTAATTTAAGTTTCTCATGGACATGTAAATCTGAAATAATGATACTGTCTCCTTTGCTTCTTTCTCACATTTACTTATTCACACAAACTGCCTTCCATCCATAATTCTCATTCTTCCTGTTAAATTTCTCTAAAATGTTCAATCACAGATGTATTAAAATACATAATTCATCTAAATCAGTCCAAGGACTGTAAATTCCAATTACTAACAAAGATTATTTTCATCTCTAAAGAAGGCAATATAAGGGAGCTCTGAAAGGATTGGCATTATGATCTTTCATTCCCCAATTAAAACCCACTGACAACACTCAGGAAAAAAGTGTCTCTTTAGAGATACAACAAAACTCAATCTTGCTGTATGAAAAGTGCAAATTCTGAACAAACCATGAAGACATTTATGACAAAGCCTATCCCTATAGAAACACATGGAAGAAATTTACAGAAACACTAAAACTGCCTAAATAAATTTGATAATTAAAAAAAGATTTGGTTGATTAAATACTTTTTAATATAATGAGAGTTAAGTTACACTAGTAAATTAAAATAACAATCTCTCTAGACTCAGAAGACCTTAATGTCTTGTCATATTGTAGTGCAGCTTAATTAGCATGTTTATTTTTAGGATTAGGAATCCATCTGCTCAGGTAATTATTATTGTGTTAATCCTCTTTATGTTTTTCTCCTGATCACAAGAATAACCTGTGGTTTTTTTCTTTTATTCATTAAAATGATTATTATTATCTACTTGATGACACCACTTGACAAAAATTAAAAACACAATTAAGTTGCATATTTTAGCTTAAAATAGTATGTATCAGACATATCAACTAAATATTCACTTTAGTTTTTATCGTCGAAAGCTATATATAAACTTTTCAAAAAGTCAAACCCATTTAATTAATTTTTCTAGTGTCTCACATGGAATCATAATTTGATGGGCTTCTATCTTATATTTTAATGCATATTTTTCATATTTTTAAAAAAGATAATACTTCTACGTCATACATAACCTTTTCATAATTATGTGTTGTAAATCAATTTATATATTACTTAAAATAATTATTTTCCAAATGAAGGAACAATAGCTTTACTTTTGCTGACAGTGGTCCCAAAATATATATTTATTTATTTATTTATTTATTTATTTATTTATGATTACTATTATATCTGCAATCTAAATATTAGACTCTTATCTAAAATTTTATGGGTTCTGTTCAACTGATTTACCTTTGTAGTTGAATTGATCAGTTCAAAAGCTGTTTGGTACCCCTCTAGAGCTATAGAGATTATCATATAGAAGTGACAACATATCAAGATGTACTATGAGATAGAAAATTTTATGACAAACCTCCTAAGGGAAAACATAGGCACTTTCTAAACTTGTTGTTCAATAAACTTTAGAAACCTGAATTGCTAGGTAAGTAAATCTATAACAAAAGCATCCATAGATATGGCTGCGGTTAAAAAAAATGTGAAAAAAAGGGAAAAAATACAAAATGGTTCATAGGGAGAAAGGAAATTCTTCAAAATCAAAATGTAATTCTCCAAGATTTAATTCTCCAAATGAATATTTCTATTACAGAAAAAAAAAAGCCTCATAAAAGATGTAAGAATTTGGAAATATTTCACATTTTTAATATAGGAAAATAAAGTTACAACTTTTTCAAGGGTTATGCATTATTTGCACTAGCGGTTTCTTCTACTTTTTTCCATATGCCATCTAAATGTTCCTGGTAGTTCAGTAACGAGAAGGCCAAATCACTTTTTAAAAACAGAGAGAGAAGTGTCTATTCAGGTCCTTTGGCCATTTTTTAATAGGGTTGTTTGTTTTTTTGGTCTTGAGTTTTATGTTCTTTATAGATTTTGGATATTAACCCCTTATCAGATGCATTGGTGAGTATGTTCTCCCATTCTGCGGGTTTTACACTTTGTAATGTCATGGACAGACCTGGAGAACATTATGTTAAGTGAAATAAGCCAGTCAGGGAAAGACAAGTATCATATGACTTCACTTATATATGAAATCTAATGAACAAACTGAACTAACAAGCAAAATAGAGGCAGATCCGTAGAGGGCAGAATGACAGCTATGGCAGGGGGCAGGTTAGGGAGTGGAGGGATGGAGCAAAAAGTAAAAAGGGCTCAGGGACATGGACAACAGTGTGGTGGTTGCAAAGGCGAGGGGGGTGTAAGGGAGTTAAATGGTAGTGGGAAAATACAATTTAAAAATGTTAAAAAAAACAAAACAAAACCAGAGGGAATTATGCCATCTGACTTTCTTCTTGGTGAGGAATATTTACCCTCCACCATAGGCCCAGTACTTCAAACAGGAAGGCAATTTGCAACAATTATAATAATTGATTCATTTAATTTACAGAGTAATAGACAACACCAAAAGATCTTTCTTACTGCAAAAGATAAAATATTATTACAGTAGAGAAAACTGGCAGATACCATTGTAGACAAATGATCCAAGTTAACATTGCTAGTAAATGAGGCTAATCAACAACATGTACCTTCTTGAACAGATATGAATTGAGAACCCAGAATCACTTCTGGGGCATTGCTGCCAAAACTGAATAATTTGAATCTAATCTTAAGGGTACATGAGACAAGCCCAACATTAGGGGCATTTTATAAAATAATTGAGCTATAGTTTTCAAAAATGCCAATATCATAGAATTTAAAGAAAGACTCAGAAATTTTTCCAGATTAAAGAAAACTTAAAAGACATGATCTGGAATTTTCTTTTGTTATAACAAAAACATCGAGACAATTAATACTGGATATTAGATAATTGTATTGTTTCAATGTTAATTTATTGATTTTGATCACTGTACTGTGGTTTGTTAATAAAAAATTCCTTACTTTTAGAAAATATTTGCTGAAGTATTTATGGGAAAGAGGGCATTGCACCTGCAATTTATTCTTAAGGGGTTCAGAGAAAAATTGATATATATGGTGTGTACATGCACAAGCACACACACAGAGATTGAGAAAAGGGTAAAACAACTGTATAAACTGTTGACATTTTGGGAATCTGGATGAAGGGTTCCTGGGAATGGTTCGTACCATTCTTAAAACTTTTCTCTAAGTCTGATCAGTCAAGATAAAGAAAAATTAATAACAGAGAGAAGAGTTAGAGAATCAGAGAATTTAAGGGACTTGTCCAATGTCATACAATAGGAGCAAAAATTTCTCAGGGACTGAAAGTCATGTTCTTTTCAGCATCCCTCTCCTTCCTTTGCTCTATGATGACATTTCTTTCTGTACTATAGAAATATGGAAGAGAGAAGGGACTGAGTTAATAGCTAGATTGCTAATTCTTAGAGAACTTGCTTGCACACCTTGTGAGTCATCCTGGCATTCTCAGGCAGCCAGCACAGGGAGCAGGGGTATGATCAGAGCTACAGACACTGTTTTGGCAGTGTGCCTCGACCTCTGGACACATGTCTAGCTGTCCAAGACCCAATGTCTAATAAGGAACCATTGGGAGTGACATTCATTTCTCTAAGGACTTTGACTAGGCGTAAGAGTTGCTTCCGGTCAGTAACAATATCCGTTCATGATCATAATAGTGGCAGTGCCATGATTGAAGTGAGGTTCCAGCCAGTGGTTTGAGGCAGAGTGACATTGTTCAGCGTTTTAGGTAGGGCAAAGGCTGATAGGTTGGCAGGCAGATTCAAATTC